AAATGCCAGGGAATTAACACCTCCAGGAACAGCCCTCAACCAAAGACCAAGGGGAGATTTCGCTATATATACCTCGCATCTCTCACCTCTTCGTGGGCTAACTCTGAATGTGTGTTTTATACCATTTCTCAGAATTTTCCTGTGGAACTAAGCCCCAGTCGCCCACAGTGGTGACCTGCTTGTTGACACGCCCTTTGTTGGCTGCCTTCCCTCCATCTCACTTTCCTCTTCCCTACAGGTGTTTCCTGGGGTCCCCTTGCAGATGAACCACCACAGTGGAATCCTGGTCTCAGGGTCTGCCTGGGGGAAACGAAACCAAGACATCACTCCGGCTTCTGTAAGGAGACTGGATTGGAGGAGGACATAAGCAGAGGTGGGGAGACAAGTCCAGGTAAGAAAAGATGGCGGCCTGGACCAGGTTGGTGGGAGCCAGGGCTTTCTGGGGTCTGGACTTTCCAGAACATGAAGGCCCTTCATAAGCAGAAGCTGCAGAATGACTTTCATGAGCGAACATTACTCTCTCACAGGCTGTCCAAGTTCTCCACAGCTTCTCACCCAGTCAAGCCAAGCACATGCCCCCTAAGAGGAAGCAGGGCGTGAGAAAACAAGCCTGTCTATAAGGGAAAATTGCAAATGTGCCCAATCCCCCAGCACTTCCTTCTGTCCCTCTGGCCTCTGGGTAGAAGGCCCTCTTGGGTCCAGGCACAACAGCCCTTGGGTTGGATTTGGCTTACGGCAGATGTGATGGTCATAGCTCCTCCTAAACATGGTTGGCTGTGCCACCTTCACTGTCCCAAGAGGAGGAGGATTTTGTGTCTCTCACCAGAGTGAATGCAACTCTGGCAGCAAGTAGCCCTGGCGGGAAGGCAAGTAGAGCTCTTTGAGCCCCTTCCCCCCAGCAACACACATACACACTCGCACCCACCGTGTCCAGCGAGTACAACCAGCTTCTCACTGACCCTCTCTCTTGGTCTTACTTCTCCCGATGACACAGCCCAGGGTGGGGTGGGAGGGCACCCACTCACTATCAGTCCTTTATCTTTCTTAGAGAAACCAGTTTATTAATCAAGAACACCATCCTGGTCACGCCGGCCTGCTGAAACTTGGTTTTGATTTATCATTCACTGGGAGCAGCAGATGCTATTGGGGCCCACCCCTGCTCCTTGGCACTCACTACTCCTGTACATACTGATGGCCTTCTACCCCAAGTGCCTGCAGCTCTCTGCCTTTGCCCCCTTCTGGCTACAGGAGCATGGACCAGTCTAGAGGTTCCAGGAAGTCAATGCCCTCAGGAGCAGTCTCAACCAGTGATGGCTGGGAGTTAGTGGCCCAGCTTCTTTGGCCCTTGGGTGGGACGACTTGAGGCATTTTCTACATACTCCCCCAAAGGTCTCAGCGGGATTGAGCCCCAGTTGCCCACAGCAGTGTCTGGGCACCATATGGAGAGTATGTGGGTTGATATGAGTGGTGTGCCCATATGTGGCTATAGCATGTATGTGGCTATGTTCATGTGTAAGTTCATGTACAGTGTGTGTTTTGGGGGTGTGTGTGGCTGATCTGACTATTGTCTAACAAGTATTTGCTCCGCCTTCTACTCTGAACAGAGTGTACTTCCCTTCCCTGACATTGGGCTTGGCCATTGACTTAACTTTAGCCAAGGGAATATTAGCAGAAGTGACATCAGCAGAGGCCTTAAATGTGCTTCTGCAGTTTGCCTGAGCCCTTGGGCTTCTTCCACTCCCCATTAGAAGGACTGCCCCAGGTGGTGCTGCCTCTTCAGCCTGGGCTCCAGGATGAGAAACGACGAGCAGACCTGAACCCACAGCTTTGGGCCAAGCTCAGCTGAGCCCAGCTGACCCACAGACCCTGGAGCAAGAAATCAAGAGCTGGTGTCTCAAGCCATTGAGTTTTGGAGAGGTTTGTTACATGGCATTATTTCAGCAATCACTGATACAGAGTGTTATGGGGGATTTGCAAAGCACGGGGTATGGTTTGTGGGATACGAGGAATGTGTCTGAGTACAGTGTTTGTGTATTTTGTGCCTGGGCAAATGTTATGTTGTGATACATAAACACAGAATAACAAGGGTTTATATTGGATGAGACAAAACAGATGAGCAAGCATACTGCAGAGTGGAGTTTGTACCTGGCTTCTGGTCAGAAGGGACCTCAGGTTCCTGGACTGGGAAACCCACAGCCTCGCCTCTCTCCAACTTGCCTGTGGTTTCTAGGAAGGCGGCATCCTCCAGACAGGGGTGTTTGACTCGCCCGGTGTTCAGCAAACCCAGGAAGAGGTGGCACGAGGCCAGCCGAGTTGCGTCTGACCACACACACCCAACCTGCGTGTGCTTTGGCTGTTGAACCTTCCACCCCCATGGCAGGGCTTGGCAGCTGGGGAAAGGCTCCACACCACAGCCTCCAAAGATGGACAGAGGGGCTCTGTGTGGGCAGAAAGCTGCTGCGTGCACATCAGCTGGACTGGGGCTTTGCAAGGAGGGGCCTCCGAGCTCAAAGCCCCAGAGCATCCCTGTAAGCACCCCCTCTTCCTGCCCTCATTTATGGCTAGATGAAGAGGACTCTGTGAGTGGGTGGGTAAGCTCTGGAGTCAGACCGTCCAGGCTGTGTCTCAGCTCCACTAGCCATGGCGTTGGGCAAGTAACTTAACCTCTCTAGGCCTCAACTGTTCAACTTTAAAACAGGGAGAAAGGTAGTATCTCTCTAGTAAGGTTGCCATGAGGATTGGATGAGTTAATTCCTGTAAAGTATTGGAGACAGTGCCTGTTTATTATTGAGCTTGGCCACCCGCCAGGTGCTGTATGAACTACATTACGTGAAGAATCTCGCGTGCAGAAACCACACAAGGTCAGTGTTATCTGATGGAAGCCGGGCTCCCCCCAGAGACAGACCTTGAGACAAGAATTCAAAGCAAAACCAGTTTATCTGTGAGCTAATTCAAAAACACAAGCAAGGAGTAGGGAAGGGAGACAGGGAGGGCCAGCAATGACCACTGTGGGTAACTAGGGCTCGGTCCTGGTAGGGAACTGAGAGACATATGGAATACGCACCACAGAGCTACCCCAGTCAGGCAGCTCCCATCAGTCACAGGAGGGCAGCTCCTGGAGGGAGCATGACCAGCTCTCCCAGTTTAACCAGGACTGTAAGTCTGTGGTCTGGGAAACCCCTCCATCCCAGGCTAGATGGCAGGTCATACTGTCTAGAGGGCATTAATTCCCAGCCCTTAGCCTGTCACACCCTGGGCAGAGCAGGCTCAGGGCCCAGAGCAAGCCCGAAGATGCAGGTGCTGGCAATTCAGAGCTACCATGTGCCCAAGGGCATAAGGTTGGGACACCCAGTCCCATTTAGAGGTGAGAGAAGTGAAGCTCAGAGAGGGAAACTAATCTGTTCATCATCACACAGTGGCAAGTGGCCTATGGGCAGGGGGTTCAAACCCAGGTCTGTCTGATGCCAAAGCCCATGCCAACCCCCAGGGCCCACACTCCTCCCTCCAGAAGGGCAGCCACGAGACAAGGACTAGAGGAGCTGCAAGTATCGTGGGAGCCCAGCTAGTCCAGTGACTGGAGACAAACATCCACAGGCAGACAGGTAACATCCAAGCATTTGGGGGTGAGTGTTAGACAATTAAGAGGTATGGTCTTCGGCCAAAAGGAGAGTATGGTAGCCTTTAAAGGGGACAGCAGCTACTCAGCTCAGGAGGATTCCTGCCACATGGGAATGAAGGCCCCATGTTACTAAACCATCCAATGTTTCAAAGGAAGTGGGATTTTCATGAGAAATCTCCAAAGTATTAAATGTGGTCTGAGAATTTTCTAAAACACATTTTGAACCAAACTTATATGGACCAAAGAGGGCGCATCAGTCCCTGGCTACCTGGTTATGGCACTGAACTCGTTCTGTGGTGCGTCCACTCACCCCAGTAGGTAAATTTAGGGCTAGTATTGATCTCTTTCCTCAACAGGGGTCCCTACAGAAATGGGGGCTGGCTTGGTGTGCATTTAGTACACATGTCCACCTGCTTTGCGCTCTAATCATTTTTTGTCTTTCTTTCTGGCCACGTTTCCCCACTCGTGTCTCCAAGGCTGACATCCAGCTCGCAGGTCCCGGAACAGCCACACTGGCTGTTCACAGGTCACTTAGTAAATAGCTGATGCCTGCAGTCCCCCTGTTAACCCCTGGGCCCTGATCGCCAACCCCTTCTCCAGGACCCCCGAAAACTCCAGGGTTAACTCCTGGCCCAGCAGGGACCTCAGCTGGCCCTGTGGCTTCCTTCTCATTCTTCAGGGCCCAAGCTGGACCATTATCATCCCTTTATCTCTCCCCTCTCCCATTCTGTCTCTCCTCCACCTCGACTTTCTTTTCCGAATTATGCAACCATCTTGAATCCTTCTTGATTCAAGGATAAAACATTACCAACAGTAGCATGCTGATAAATGTTTAACAACCAGCTCTCAGGGAATAGGGAGGAGTCCTGATTTGTAGCATTTGCTGATTCCCTTGGTGTAAATACTCCTACGCTGGCCAATTTCAAGCTACCAACATGGATGAATGTGGAGCTAGCAAGAGATATGCAGTAACTCAGCATTATGTAATATTTACTAGGTAGATGCAAAAAACCTCAAGAACTCAGATAGTAGCACAATGCAAAATAATCATGAAGTGATGAGTTCGGAGTATGATTACCTTTGTTTCTAATATAACTTATTATATTGTGAGTTTATACAATTTAAATAACGCCTGTGTTTCACAGCCAGGTCATAAAATTCCTGAAATTCTTGTGAGCCTACATGAGCTTGTTCCAGCACACCACTGGATGAATGAACTCAGAGGCAGAAAACTAACAAAAACGGGTGCTTGGTGATCAAAAGACAAGGACTAGGGGGAAAGTCACCGTCCATCCTCAGGTGGACAGTTCCGGCGTCACAATTCACCTCAAATCCCCTACCTCCACTGCTCCCCACCCCCGCCCCTCCCGGACCCACTTACCTGCAGCAGGAAGTCGAAGAGTGCCAGGCGTGCCCACTCGGCGCGGTGGATGCCCAGGCATGCGGCCTGGCCCGGCTGGCTGCAGTCACGTGCCAGCAGGGCCTGGTACTGCAGCCAGCCCAAGGCCAGCGAGTTCTGGTCATCATCTGGATCACCCAGGTGCTGCACGTCGGGTGCCCACCAGATGACTGGCCTTGCGCCACCATCCGTGTAGCGGTAGGGCAGCAGGGGGCTGTGGAAGCGCCTGGCCACGGCAGGTAGGCTCCGGCGCAGCCCCAGCACGCGGTCCACGTGGAAGGACAGGACCTCAGACAGGTCCCCAGGCCTCTTGATCAGGCCACAGAGCCCCTGGGAGCAGAGGTGGCTGAGACCCGGAGACAGGTCCTGAAGGGCACCCTTGGCAGAGAAGCCAACCTGCAGCACCTGTCCGTGGCCAGGGACCCTGGCTTTGCCCACCACCTGCCCCTGCGCCAGCAGCTGGAGGGTCTGTACATCCTGCTCTGTGAGCCACGGGGGCACCTGTTCGCTGGTCCTCAAGCCACTCGACAGCCTGGGGGTCTCAGCGTCACACCACACAGATCCTTGCAGCTCCCCAACAGAGCCAGGCCACTGAAGAGCCCCCGTGGCCGGGGAGGGAGCCCCTGCTTGTCGTCCACCAGTCAAGGCTCTGTTCCTCACTCCTGGTAGATCACCCCCTTCTGCTGGATGAGGCCGGAGGGTCGGTCCAGCAGTAGTTCTCCAAGTCTGTAATGCTGCCATGTTGTGCCCTGCGAGGGGGCCATCTGGGGTGCCCGTCTCACTCTGTGCCTGCCAGAGGGGACCACTGTGCCAGGGGAGGTCCAGGTCTTTGGTTCCTGGACCCCTGACCTCATCCGCCCTCAGGAGCACCAGATGCCGGGTACTGAGTCTCAAATCTCCTGGAGGTGCCAAAGTAATGCCCCTCTTGACCCTCCCTGGATGCCTGCTGTCCATGCCTGGGGACTGCCTGCTGCTGTCCACGCTCCCTCCGTGGCCTTGCTCCTCAGCACACACCAGGATGGAGCTCCTAGGCAAGGCCCAGCCTCTCCGGAACCTCAGGTTTCTTGCCCTCTGCCTCCAGCCGGAGCTCAGAGCCTGCCTGCTCTGGGGGACAGGGGCACCAGTTACCTGCTGGGGCTCCACGGGACCAGGGTCTGGGCTGGTGGCTGGGTGCTGTGGAGGGAAGCGGGTGACAGCCACCACAGATAGAGCCATTAAGAGGCAGAATGCCATCACCAACCGCCTCTTGCCACGCAGCTTTCTCCAGAGCCAAGATGCCTGGGGGATGGGGTAGAAAAAGAAAGCTTAAGACCTGTGAAAACATCAGCCCTAACCCACAGAACAACAGGACGGTGGATGAAGAAACATCTTGGGTGAACGAAGAGGGGAAAGAGCAGAGCCAGGTGGAGTAACGCCTACTGTCCCCAAGAGAGGTGTGGGAGCCAGCTGCGCTCCTGCTTCAAGGCTCAGCCTGCTCTGTCTCCAGGACAGCCCTGGCCGATGCCTGCAGGCAGATCAGGCTTCTCCTCTCTGAATAAACTGCCATTATGACTAGTCAGCAAACACACTAAGAGCCTTTCCCCAGCTTCCCCCACCACTAAGTGCGGGCCCCTGTCGTTTCATCTCCACGTGATCCCACTCTGCGGACCTGCAGTCATCTCCTACAAACACGCTCTTC